CTAAAATCACTTGCTTTTACACTCCTGGCCCGGGATTTCCACCAGCCCCAGTCCACGCCACCACCGTCGATGAAATCCACTGCGTCGGGAGCAGACACAGACATCACGACCCCACGTCGTCCCGGCGACTGCTCCCACCAACTCCTGCCGACATCGCCCGATCACGCACCTGATCGCTCTCCCGTCTCCCGTGGCAGCAGGACCTGGCGATGTGCGAGCAGTTCTTCTGCAGCAGATCGTACTCCCCTGAAAGCAATGCAACTCCAGAAATCATCTCATTTCCGGTAAGGCATCTTGAGCAATATTTTCAAATTGAGTTGGAAAATGAACAAATTATTTATCGCCTGCAGATAGCTGTTTCTTTTCTTTTTTGCTTTCTTCCTACTTAATAAGTTTAACAAATGTGCCCCGCCACGAACTGCACGCACTTCGGTGCACCTATTATACGATCAAACAGTTCCTCACGACTATAGGCAGGAAGCTCGGAATCGTGCTCTACGTATCTCGAAGGTCCTCGAGCTGAGCTATAATCAGTCACTGGCGGCTTCTTTGCAGGGGGCAAGGTTCCCCGGTCTCCCATTTTCGTATCTCTACGTATGTTTCCACACGCTTCAATTGCGGACTCTCTGATCTGTTCCATGAACTTGTTCAATGCTCAATGCGTATAAAAAGTCACTTCCATGATCAGAGATCCATGGGCCACTCTGTCGTGCTCACCTCACAGCACGAGGCGAGGACGATAGCTTCCGAGACCCAGCGAAATTTGGGACCTCGTCTTTGGATTCTGACATATATATCATGTACAGGACTCACCGACGCCGTTCTTCAAGCTGTGGACGGCCCTTCCAACGATTTCATCGCGTAAATTGCGGGAATGACTCATTTCTTCGTACGAATCCCATCCCTCCAACAAGTCGAGGCGGATTTTGTCCATCCCGTAACACTTGCCGGACGCGCTCAGTAGCATAAAAAATATCGTTTCGACGGGAGGCGCTGGAGACGCAAACTGGAGGCGCCGAATCTTCCATCGATTAATTCATCTCAATTTCCCATCGTTTAATACGAGTACTCGCAATAATTACCCATGATTATCGACTTCCATGGAGTCATCAAGCACTCCATCGATACGAGTCCGCTTGTATCATTTCATCGACGTACCCGTAGGAAGCGATTCATCGAACAGGAATTCATGAGGGTGCGACCACACCGACACGACCTGTCGCGTGACCTTCCCCTCTTCTACCGACGAAATCTCTATCACGTCGGCCTTACTCGCTCTTTCGTTGTCTTGCTCCACGTATCACCGTCACGGCTGGGAAGAATGGGGTCGTCCAACGCTTTTCGCCTCCTCGTCCCACAGGACGTCCCTCGTCCATAGAGGCGCAACTGACTGGTAGACTTTTACGGTGATTAGAAGGGAAGTCCATTACCGTAAAAAAATTGTTGTGAGTTTTACAACTTAATTTCATTATGTAATTATTGACCATCCCAAAGGAATCGGGCAAAAATACATGATATTATCAAGCATTAATTTTAAAGTAAGGGATTAAAAGGGGAAAACACAACAATGGAGGGGAAGGAGGAAATATACTGCGTACTCCTCCTGAGGTGTTACAAAAAAGAGTTGCAGGAATCTCATAATTTTCTACTCTAATATTTTCCATGCTTTTCTCTTCCCTTCATATTGATGTGTTGTGATGAAATGAAAGAATGTTAAATTTTTTATAACCTTTGGGAAATTAGCTTTCATGTGGTATTTTGTTAATAATAGTATTGCATATTGAGCGAAAGTATTTTGATTCTTTCAATCTGATTTATTGACTTAATTAATGACCATATTATAAGGAATTAGGGAAAAATGCAGGATTTCGTCAATTACTCAGTATTAAGCAAGAATGATGGAATGTTATCAGTGTAAGGATGGGACAACCCTGTAACCGACTGGGGGAAACACATAAAAGAAAACTCGTAAAAGACATTAAGGTAGTCACCAGATCCTAAAAACTTCAAATAAATTAAGTGGAAGTCAACACCCAAATGAGCCAATGGAACTAAAGGGGGGGACGTTGCCTATCCATTCCGGATTCCGGATTTTGAGGAAGGTACCCTGGCTCCGCCCAGAGGTACCGAAGATATCGGCAAGAAACATGGATCCTGGAGTCAGTCGCTATTTGGAAGGCACCATTGTGACCTTACCATATCTGGAGCTGACTCCAGGACAACCTACCAGCGGGAAAGGTCAGCCCTGTCCCTTGGTTGCGTGCGGTAGTGGGGCCCGAGTAAGAGATAGAGAGAACAGTAATATAAATAACCATCACGTTCCAGTAGAATTTTCCCCAGTCGGATCCTTCTCCCATCCAATAACAAGTACTGTGGATAACTGTTGTTTTTTATATTTCATTATTGTCGATATTTTTAATAAAGTTATGTATTTTACCTTGAAGAACCACAAGAATTTCCATTTCTCCAGAAATTCTGTCTGGCGGACCTGCCTTGACCCTCGAATCTGGACCGGGGCAGGTGACCAGTTAATATTGATCACTTGTTACGTCGCACCTGGAATCCGACTAAGGTAAACACAGGAAACAAAACTCATTTTAAAAAGACATTAAGGAAGTCACAAGCTATTGAAAACCACAAACAGAACAATCAGGGCCGACCTCCAAATTACCCAATGGGCTGATAAATCGTCCTCGAGTCCCTCATCCAATCCGAATCCCGGATTTCGAGGAAGCCACCTTGGCTCCGCCCTGAGATATCCCCGCGGATATCAGTAGGCAACTCGGATGTCGGAGTCAGTCGCCATTTCAAAGGCACGCTGTCGCCTCATCTGATTCGGAGCTGGCTCCAGGACAACCGCAATTTGTCAGGTTAGCCCTGTTTACTTTCTTTTGAGAGGAATTGTGGAGCAGAAAAAGAGGGAAAAGAGGTTATATAAAGGAAATTCATTTAAATTCAGATTTTGAGTTTGCCTCGTGGAATCATTCTCCCATCCAATTTGTCTTTAGATGTTGCTTAGAGTGTTATCCTCTAAAAAAGATTCCGGACGTATCCTAAGACTAATAGGATTCTTGTGATGATTTCATTAATAAGTACAGTGCATAATTATTTTTTTGAATAAGTAATCAAATTGTTATTCTATAAAAGTGTTTATTTCTTTCTTTGAAGAATACGAGACTTCCATATCTGCAAAATTTTTGTCTGGTCGGACCTGTCTAACATATTCAATCCGTGACATGACCAGGATGAAAGAACTTAAATTCAGAAATTTAGTCTAATAGTAAACAAGTTGGCCCCTTATTACGTCACAGTAAGCTCATAACGAATTCCATCCCTTTGACATTGAAAATGCTTTCTTTTGCCGTGAAAACTTCTGAGGCAATGGAAGCTAATTAGTAAGTTCACAACGAATCCCTTCCATCATTCCTTCTTACAATTGGAATAATTATCATACCGTTTGTTTACAGTTACGGTGAAGATCAAGAGGGAAGAGGAGCTTTAGGTGACAGCTTCTCTTTTTTTTTACATATAGGAATAAAGAAAAACGTATAAATAGCAACTCTAGAGTTTCATCTGCATGTACACGAGGTGAAAGTGTCTTTAAAATAGACTTGATGAGCTCATCATCTTTCTTTGGTTGTATGGATCTCGCTATGGGCGGTGTCAAAACCTTGAATGGCATGAACATCATGAGACAAATGGACGAGGTCATGGGGATCAATGTTTTCTTTCCATTTCCCCCATTCCTGTCTGTTTTTTGCTGACACTCACTTAGGAACGAATAAATAAATAAATCGCATACATGCAGTATCATTTAGAAATCCCGGATGTGAACTTGACTCTGAGTAAAATCTTTTTTCGTTTGCACAAACCCTGCAGTGAGCAGGGTTAACACATTGTCTGGTTCGCACATCATTAGACTGATGGAAATGGTCATGGACTGGTTCGCACATCGTTAGGATAATGTCAGGGTTAACACATTGTCTGGTTCGCACATCATTAGACTGATGGAAATGGTCATGGACTGGTTCGCACATCGTTAGGCTCATGGGAATGGTCATGGAGTAAATGTTTTCCTTCCATTTCCCCATAGCTGTCAACTTATGCTGATTTCGAAAAAGTAAAAGCCACAATCACTATTTTGAAAAGCAAAAAGCCTTAAATACATCACTTCGTAGCGATTTTCACTCTGCCAGTTTCTCACTTCCTCTTTCTGCGTGATCTTGTCTCTGCTACAACATACTCCTGAGTGCCGTAAGTTTGCAGATACGAATACTCCCATTACTTACTGAGAGTTTTCTAATCTCAACTTTCATATCTCCCTTTCCATAGGTGATGCTCTTCCTCACTTATATTTTGAAATTTGAAAATCTATCAGATCGAAAAACATTTGAGCTATGGTTAAAATATTGTGTCGGGGGTGTTGTGGATGTAGTGAAGGCTGAAAGAGAGGTGACCTTATTTCTGTGACCTTATTTCTGCGCCCCTCTGGGGGCACAGTTGGGCTCAGGAGGGAGATGGTAGTTGCATGGTTAAGAAATATCCCATGCAAAATTTTCACCTGGGTAGGTGATGGTGGAACTGAAGAAATACTTTTGTCTGCTGTGAAGACTGCAGAAGAAATGCAAGCAAATTAGTAACCTCATCACGAATCTCTTCCCACATTCCATTTCACATTTGAAATAATTAATATACCTTTCATTTACAGTTATGATGAAGATTGGGATGTTGCAGAGGAAGAGGGAAGAGGAAAAAGTTAAAAAATAATAAATTCCCCTATCATTCCAATGTTCCTTCATGAATAAAAAATCAGAGTAATCTACTATTGATATTCACTTTAAAAAAATACAAATTCGTCACAAGTGTAACCAGAGATGTGTTTAACACATCCTGTCTTTCACGTGGAGACACTCATGGCCAGCGTCATTCAAGCTTTCTCCTGTAACAGCTTTTTTTCAGATCTTGTATCATTTATTCATACTTCTATTCTTTACTGGATCATGTACGTCATCAGGGTGCACTCTGCAGAGGAGATAGATGATGCGATGGTGCTGTTGTCAGTATTGGCGCATGTGAAATTGGAGGTGACTTCTCCACATACTATTGTACTCAAACTCGAAGGAGATAATCGACTCCGGAAGAAGACCATTGAAGAGAAACTAGGGTGCCTACGTTCGTTCATGAGATGGCATGCAGACGACGCGGACATCGAAAAATGTATCAATACGGAGGAAGTCCGAGCTAAATATAATGTTTCTGGTAATGCCATTCCATACCTCATACAATTTTTTAAAATCCCTGTATGCATTTTTCATCAGAGACACACGCATTCTTTCCATCCATATTAGTTAACTATTTCACTGATATAATATTTTGATTTGTTCCTCGCTGTATATTCTTTTCATTCTCTTCACAGGAACGATAGAGGCTGAAGAAAACCATTTCTCCCAGACCCCAACTCCTGTTCCGACTACATGTCTTCAAACCCCTTTAGAAGTTCTTCCAGAGCGGAAGAACTTCTAAAGGGGTTTGAAACAAACACACATTTGGATTGCTTCCACATCGCAATCATCATTACCAATACTTTTCAATACATTCCCTTGTTTTTCGTATATCGTGACTATTGAGGTAGAGATTGGCAATGAGTAAATTGTAATAAAGTTTCTTTTTTCCACCAATGCATATTTTCTAGTCTTATTTGGCTGCTCCCCCTCCTCCACACGTACGGGACCGTTCGTGAAAGGCGATCCTGTCAGTGGGTTTTGTATAGTTTCTTTCACGAAAATCACGCTGCCCCCCCCCCCCC